AGGGGGCTGAGGCACGAGGATCACAAGTGGGAGCTCTGCCTGGCAATGTAGTGACTTGGGGAGACCCTGTAAACAACAACAGCGACAACAACTATGACAACAGATAAATAGAAAGGGGCCGGGGATGGAGCTCAGTGTGAAGGCTTTGAGTTCAGCCCTCAGGAACACAAAACAAAACATAAACCGAACAGAACAAAAACCCACAAAAACCAGAAAAGATGCACGGCACCCAGACTGCTCATCTTCCAGGCAGAGAGACAGATAGGGCCCTAGGGTGTAGGGTGCTGGGGCCCAGGCAGTGAGGGCTCTGCGTGGAGAGTATGCGCTGTCCCCAGAGGGCTCTGGGCTACCCTCTGCAGCCTGAGACTCGGCCCTTGAGACATGGCTCAGGGTGCGGGGTCCATGCAGAACACCAGCTGGAGTGCAGATGATTTATGGGCCGGCTCTGAGATTCCCTTAAATAGCAAAGAGCCACTCCATTCTACCAGCCTGGCTTCTGTCTCCAGCCTTCCCGGATTCTTGGACAACACAGACCTGCTCGGGCCGGACCAGCCCAGGCCCTCCAGAGGTGAGGGTGCCCACCCAGGCGGGACTCAGGGGAAGTGCCTGGCTCTGGCCCTGGCACCCAGCCGGCCTCTGATGCTGCTCCCGAGGGTAGCGCTGATCACCACATATTCCTGAATACACAGCGGGCCCTTGACTACAGGGCACAGCTCCGAGATGCCAGTGGAGGATGGAAGCCTTGGACAATCCTAGGCCTTGCCAGACATGGTGGTGCACTCCTGGGATCCCAGCACTCAGGAAACTGAGGCAGGAGGATCGCTGTGAGTTCCAGTCCAGGCTGAATTACATAACACAACCCTGTCTCAAGAAACCAAAACCAAAACAGAAACCCCCAAAACAACAAAAAGGAACTAAGATATGTTCTGTGCAATGCCCACACCCCGATGCGCTCCACGTGGGCTACTCCGAGAACGAGGGTTAAGTGAACAGAGTCACGCCGCGCCCTCCTGTCCTGCCCCGTGAAGATCTCAGCTGCCCTTGGAGAACTGACCTCCTGCAGGTCACTGGACACAGCTGTGCTCAGACATTAAACGACGAGCCATCATTTTCATCTGTAACCTTTCTTTTGACCTGTGCGCGGCATTAGATTTGACTCTGAGTAAAACTAAAGTGAATGAAGGTTATTCCCTGTGCTGGGGGACATGGAACATGTCAGCATGAGGATGTGAAGGAGAGCACAGCCGGGGAGGTCCCCTGGGTAGGAGAGGGTGCTGACCATTCCCCTCTCGGCCTGCTGCTGGGAGAGCAGCTCCCAGCTCAGCCCAGACTGAGCCCCGTGCTCATTTGGGGGGATAGCTCCTATACAAGTAATTTTGGAAAATCAGAGTCTAAGTGGGCTTTGAGAAAATCTGGCTTAATGAGTTAAAATGACTTGCCAAAGTTCCTTGAATTAGTATTCCTTTAAATTATAATAAATATTTTGAAGAATGAACCTAAAAGAGCATTTGAGACTGGATGTGCTGGTGCACACCTTTGAGCCCAGCACCGTGGGAGGCTGAGGCAGGAGGATCAGAACTGATCCCCGCCCAGGCAACTCAGGGACTTAGACCCTGCCTCAAAATAAAAAAGAGCTGGGGATGGAGCTCAGTGTGAGGTCTCCGGGTTCGATCACTAGTCCCGCAGAAAGGGGCCATTTGTGGTCAGATGGAGAGTGTGGGAGGAGGTGCTAATGTGTCAGGAAGGAGGAAGACTTGAACACAGGCCAGCCACTTCTGAGGGTCACACTCAGGGGCTCCCAAGGCGGGTGGCCGGCAATGACACACCCACAGCCACAAGTCCTGGACTGGGGCTGGGCTGGAGCTGCGGCGGGGCTCGCGCTGTCCAGTGAGGCCTCTCTTGGGCCTGGACCTGGCTGCTCTGTGACTGGTGAGGAGCAGAGCAGTTGGGAGCACCCAGCCCCAGAGAGGGCCTCAGGGAAGGCCTCACACTGCCTGTCATCTAATCAGGAAACAAAAGCCCAGAGTCTTCCCAGTGGGTACTGTGGAGTGAACCTAGACCTCTGCAGGAATCAGCGCCCCCTGCCCCCTCTTTTATCTTTTATTTTGGGACGGTCTTGTTAGTTGCTAGGTTGCCTGGGCTGGGCTAGAATTTGTGATCCTCCTGCCTCAGGCTCCCAGGGTGCTGTTACAGGTGTGTGCCACCACACCATACCCCGGGCCGTGCCTTTTAAAAGACCGGTACTTTCCACTCCACATATGGGTGACAGGTGACTGGTGAAGAAGGGAGACGTCGGTGCCTCATGCCGGGTGTCTGGTTGACTGGTTGACTCCACTGCTCGCTGCTGGTCTGAGCTGGGCGGGGCGTAGAGCAGCCCGGGCTTCTGGCGACTGGGGAGGAGCCGGGCCCAGGGCTGAGGCTGGCAGGAGGACAGCACAGAGCCGGGGCTCCACGGGCCAGGTCCGGAGGGTCTCGGCCGGGCTGGGCCAGGCCAGGCGAGGACTAATCCTGAAAAATAATTGCGACACTGGCAGCAGGACTGGCTGTGCCTGTGCCCAGGTCAGGGCTGGCAGCTTCCCTGCATTGTGGGCCGGGTGAGAGGGAGCCACCACAGAAAGTGGGCAGCTCCCTCCACCTGCATTAACACTGAGCTGAAAAACAAAGCTGGTGGCAGCTGTGATCACTGGATTTTGAGGTGTCGAGCTCTGTTTTTTTTTTGGGGGGTAACTGCAAATACTAGTTTCTCAGGAAAGGAAATGGAGGCTATGGAGACAAGAGAGTCTATGAACTCACTCTAAACCAGGCTGGCCTTGAATCACAGCAATCCTCCTGCTTCAGCCTCCAGAGTGCTGGAAGTATAGCAGTGAAGCTTTGGTGTCTCACGGTTTCCCATCTACTTAGCCAGAAGTGACAAAACCAGAGTCTCTGTATAGCTAAATTCTGTAATGTTAAAAAAATCAACACAAAGCCCTAAAGTTGATTTTTTTTCTTATTTTTTGGCCTTTTCCTTATCTTTCAAAGCAATATTTATTCACACAAAGCAGAAGTCTGAAATCTCCAGGAACTGCAGGTGAGGTAGTGAGACAAGAAAGGGGAAAAGAGGAAAAAAGCAGAATTCTAATGAAGAAAACAGAAGCATGGCTTGTTTCAAAAACAAACCGACCATTAGCTGCGATTATTAAAAATAGAACTCCAAGATCAAAAATCCAAGTCTTTTTATTAATTCATCAAATGAAAACTTCCCTCAGTTCAGAGAAGGTTTCCAGAATGTTCAGGGGAGGGGCAGGGTAGACACAGGTCAGCAGGTGCCTGCACCGCCTGCCTGGGACCCCGCTAGTGTTGATTTCCAGCTGGGGCTTCGGGCGGTGCCATTGGCCTTAAGATTTCTCCCTTTACATTTTCCATGTCACCAGGCTCCGTGGGCCAGTATGGGCCCAGCATTACGATCCGTCTCGAACGGGTTCATCCTCTCATGTGGCAACTTGGTCTGGTATTCACAGGGACCCTGGGGGCGGGGGAGAAGTGTGTGAATGACAGGAACTGCTGAGCTTGTGAACCCCACTCACACAGAGGGGCTCTCCCCTGGGGTGTCCCATCCCGGAAGTCCTGGGGTGACATTCCCCAAAGACCCGCAGAAGCCGGGGAGTCACTGGGCATGGCATTTACACCCACAATCACAGCCCTTAGGAGGCTGAGGCAGGGGGATTGCCATGAATTGGAGGCCAGCCTGGGCTAGGAGACCCTGTCCACATAAGTTTGAGCTGCTCCAGCACTCCAGGCTGGGTGAGCTCTGGCATGTTCTGGAATTTCTCCAGCAGTATCCTCATCTTTAACACGGGGACAAGATAAGGACGCCCCTTCTCGCGAGTGGTTCTGGGGAGGAAGATCAGACAAGCTGTGCAAGGCTCTTAGTGTAAGCGGATGATCCGTCAGTGAACACACGTCGTGCCCTCATCCAGAACCTTCCTGAGGATGGGGCCGGAGGGGCACAGGCTTCCCCATCTTCCCATGCATTAAAAGGCCCTAGTAGTATTCTTGTGAAGTTTAAAGGATTTCCTGCAATTTGTATATTCACTTTAGCAAGCGTTTACCACAGGGCTGTGATGTTATTGTCCGTAGGACAGATATTGTGATTAAAGTGGCCACTGCGCGCGTGAGTGCTCTCTCTCTCTCTCTCTCTCTCTCTCTCTCTCTCTCTCTCTCTCTCTCTCTCCCTCTGCCTCTTAGGGCCCGAGGGCAGGAAGAGCCCCTTGTGCCCTAGAGGCCTTACAAAGGAAACCAACTCAACCCAGTGGGGTGTGCGGGGAGATGCTAGATGATTTGTCATGGGGCCGCACCGCTTTCCTTGAATATTTCCAGGCTCTGCTTCAGTCCAGCCGACAGAGGGAGGCGGAGCCTCACATTACTGGGGAGACTGGGCCGAGGCGTAGGGACTGCGTGTTGCAGGGAGAGCCACTGATGCTGGAGGACGATACTGGACCCGCAGTCCACGTCTGCTGTTTCCAGCTGGGGCCCAGCGAGTTAATTAACCTGTCTGGATGTGTCTTCTTCCGGGGTGGGGGGCAGCGATGAGCGGTGTTGCAGGACTGCCGGTGGTAGGTGTGCACGGATCTGCAGCGGCTCCGGCTGGGCCCATTGGGGCCTGTGCTGAGGACAGAGCTGGCCTACGGGTGCAGGCGTGCGTTCCGTGCGGCCTTCCTGCCTCCCTGTGGCTTGCCCTGTGGGCCCATCAGGGACTGGACTGGGCAGTGCAGCGTCTGGGAAGCTGAGGCAGGATGCTGGGGTCCCTGGGAAGGTGAACAGAGGTGCTGCCTGGCAGAAAGCTTTCCTAAGGAGCTCGCACTTCTGCACAGAAGGGGAGAGTCGTGCATAGGATGTGACGTCACACGGACGCCCAGCGTCCCGCACCCACCGAGCCATCCTGGGTCCTCCTCCCCGCCCCCGCCTTCTGTGCCTGGCTTCCTGCACTGAACACACGACTTCTAGGCTGCCGTCTGAGTCACCTTCCATCCGGTGGATGTCACCGTGTTCACCGGGCCAGCGCTGGGGCCTGTGCTCCCTCCGCTGCTGTGAGCAGTGTGTCGACCTGATTCGGCCTCTCTCGCCTCCCGCCGCATGTTCTCCCTGCAGCCTGTCATCTTCCAGGAGAGAATCCGACCTGCTCACTCCGTTCCTAGGACTCACTTCAGGGCCTTCCCTGGCCTGGTGCTGCAGGACCCGTGAGTGCAGAGCTCTGTCCTTGTGTCTCTGCGTGGCCCAGCCCCCTGTGTGGCTGTCAGTCCTCACTGTACTCCTTCTGCCAAACGCCCTCTGCGCCTGGCTGGCGCTGCTTCTCCCGGAAAACTGCTCTGGAGCCCTCTTCACCCAGCCTCCCGGAAGTCATAATCGCACTTCCGATTTCAGCTGCAGCCTCTCTCTCCGGGCAGCCTTGACCCACCTCGTAGCCGAGTCCAGCCCGGCACTGGAGGGGGACGCAAATGCCACCTTTGACACAGTGCTGTGCCTTCTACTCCGCCTCCTGGCCCTTCCTCTCTGCAGCAGGCATCACCACGGAGTTCAGGTAATAATTATGCCACCTGAAGAAACATTGGACGCAGGGAGACCCATTCAGGGGTGTCTGGGGCAGTGTGCACCCGGCGTGGATTTTTTCACCCTCCGCGGGAGCTGGTGTGCATTGGCCGCATGTCCAGGGTGTCCAGTCCCAGCCCCGCCGGCACATGTGATGCTTTCTGCCTTCACTGCAGCCCCCCATTCCTGTGAGGAGTCTGGGAGGTCCTGTCCTCTCCGCAAGGGCCACACAGGGCTGTGTCCCATGCTCCAGTCTGAGGTGGCTGCAAGGGGAGGGAGGTGCCATTCCTCTGAGAGCCTGGGAGATAAAGAGAAGGTGCTGGCTGGAAACTGCTCTCATCTGGCCCATGACTATGATAGGCGGAGGCACCGCAGCCCCAGCCTAAGCTGAGAACATGGAATGAGTGGCCAGGCTCACACCTTTGAAGTGAAGTCACCCCCCCATGTCACCGCCCTGAGGGAGGCCCACGCATTGTCCTGCAGTGGACTGGCTAATGAGAGTGCCCTGTGAGTCACTAGTGGCCTTTGACCCTTGGAACAAGCTTGGGCTAGCTGGGGTCAGGTCATTTGTAGCAGGATAAGGGCAACAGCAGCCAACCTTATCAGGTCCAGAAGCTTGGGACACACTTTCCCGCTGGAGAATAGACCGCTGCAGGTGAACAGCCATGGTGTGGAGAGGTGCTGGGGTGGCTTCTCCTTGGGACAGTGGCCTGGGGTGGGATGGGCCACCGGAGCCTTGGTGGGCTCTCGAGCAGGGCAACACCGTCTTTTGCTGCCCACACAGTGTGGATAAGGTCTTAACAAGGGGATTGCTTTGCTCAGGAATGTTTTTATTTATTTATTTACCTATTTTTCTGTTAAAAAGAGTTTTAGTGAGAAAATAATGATGATAAAGCATTGATCATCCTTCAAGATGATGGCGACTGTCCACTGGGGATGGAACCCTGGCAGGAGCTGGCTGAGCTGCCCACGTGGGCCACTCCTCGGAGCCCTTCCAGTGTCACCTCAGGGGTGTCCCTGGTAGCCCTGTTGTGTACATGGAGTGAAATGTTATTGCGGCCACAGAACTCGTCCGGAGCTTCATTAAGGGCAAACAGAGCATTGGAAACCAGTTTCCCCAACCACACAGCGAGTGAGCTGCTCTTTTGGAAGTGTGGGAAGTGGAAGGCAGGGACCTCTTAGGGTCCAGTCCCATGCATGGGAGGCAGTCACAGATGGCAAAACACAGAAATCCATCATCCGTATCCCCAAGACACACCTGGAGGAAGCAGCTCCTTCCTGTCACCATGTCAGGGCTGCTACAAATCTCAGTCACTGTCCCATCATTGGAAGACGAAAAACCCATGGCTTAAGGAGGAGAGGTTTATTTTGGCTAACAGTGTACTGAGGGTTTGGTCCATGGTCAGCGCTCCAAGGCAGAAACAGCATGGCAGGGGGTCCTGGTGAAGGAGAGCTGCTTAGTTCGTGATGACCTGGAGGCAAGGGGAAGGGAGGAGCTGGGACAGGAACGCACCCTTCCAGGTCATAGCCCAGGGACCTCCTCCAACCCAGGTGCCAGCTGCTACAGCACAGTCAGCCCTGGACTCACCCATGAGGGGCCTGGTGATCCATCACCTTCTCAAAGCCCCACCTCTGATCAAAGGAACCACTGGGGAGGGATTCTAGATCTGCACCCTAACACTACCTGTTATGTAATTAAGTGTGCAGCTCTCTTCTTGGTTCCTGTCCTCTAGTCACACTTCTGGGTCCATGCTGCATTGTCTTATAATTGTCACCCACGTGGCAGTGCCAGAAAGAGGCGATTTCTCCACAGTACCCCACTGCACTGCCTTCCAGTGGAGCCTTGATTGCCGCACTGTCATTCGCAGGAAAGTGGCATGGCTTGGGGTTTATGGACGCAGATTCTCCGGTGCCCCTTTCAAATCCCAGCTGTGCTACATATGGCCATGGACAGTGATCTGGAGCGCCAGGGAAGGAGCAGCAGAGGACGAGGGAGGGCAGAGCTGTCCCGTCTTGGCTGTGCTCACCCATGGTGAATTTTCCGTGCAGTTCTTCCTGGCTCCCTTTGCTCAGGGAACAGCAGTAGTATAATCGCTGGAGAACAGCTGGGTCCACACGTGGTGGTGCACACCCGTCATCTCAGCACTGTGGGAGGCTGAGGCAGGAGGATTGCAAGTTCAAGTAGAGCCTGGGAAACATGGCAAATTAGCAAGACCCTGTCTCAAAAACAAAAATTAAAAAGGGCTGGGGATGTAGCTCAGCGTGAAGGCCCTGGGCTCAATCTGCAAGACAACAAGAAATGGGGAGGGGATGAGGTGAGGTTTCTCCTGTGGAAAACTAGACTACACAAACAGTGGAGAGGAGCCAGGGTGCTGTGCACCAGTTGAGGAAGCTGGGGTCAGGAGGAAGGGAGAAGAGGTCATTAGCATCCTGCCGAATCCTTCAGGGCACTCTCCGCAGAGGGGAAAGGAACAAAAGAAAATGCCAGTTTGAAATACTGTTCCTCAGGCCAAGGGCATATACGTGTGGGCAGGTGTGGCCTCCCAGCTGCAGAGCACATCTGGACCAGAGTCTGGGGGGTGGAAGGGGAGGTCCCTGGAGAAGTGGGCAGGAGAGGCGGCAGCTCCTTTCTCTGTATTCTTGGAAGCCACAACAGATCCTGCAGTGTGGACTGGGGTGTGGTGCCAAGGTCACCCCGAAAACCCCAGCCCACACAGGGCGAGTTTCCTCACAGGTGTGAAGGGCTATTCGTGCCCACTCCAGGCCAGAGCATGCCAAGGTCACCAAAGGGCACCTCGTCCAAAACCCAGCCCCAGAATGCCTGCCGAGTTTGCGCATGCTCAGTAGTGACACGGTGGGCGTGGCCAGAACACCTGCGGAGGCTTGGCGCACAGTACGCGCATGCTCAGTATCTATGACAGAAAGGAGAAAGACTCAGGCGCACACCAGGTTAGTGTCTTTAACCTTGAGTAGCCCAGAAACTGATTACATCTACAGATTTAGTAAAGAGTCAATCCCCACGGTATGCATTTGTAGTTAAAATATGTTGCCTGATTCGTCCTCACAGTGCAGCATTTTTATGTCGGCTTTATAGAAATTGGTGCCAAGAGGAGATAACTGACTTCCCTGCATGGTTACTGCAAAAAGAACAAAAAGTGGTGGTTAATGCGTGGGTGACCCAAAGGCCAGGTCCTAAGATGCAACTGGGGCTCCTGGATTCTTATCTCGGGACCCGGAGTAGGAGAGAATAGGACACGTTTCCGAAGACACCACCCTAGCCGGCTCCTCCAGGTCATTAGCCGGAAGGGACCAGAGTTTACATGTGCTTATCTGTCTTCATCTTCCCCTCAAGTGCTCCTCGCTGCAGACCACACTGGCTGTCGACGTCTCCTCCTCCTCCTCGTCCTCCTCGTCGTCCCGCCGCGCTTCCCTCTCACTCCGAACTGGACTTCCTGGACCCTCGACTGTGGGCTCTCTCACCTCAGGCCAGGGTCTTCTGGAAGATGGGGTCCGTACCATGATCAGTTCCTGCGCCTTCTCCTGACTCCATGCTGTCAGTATAAAGGATGCTGTGGTAAGGTTTCTTAATCAAGGCTACAGCATTCTATAGGATAATGTAAACAGAATAGCTAAGGTCTGTAGTTTTCTTTATTTTTCACATATGAAATAGATTCCAATTAAATTTCTGAAAGCAGTAATAACAACCAATAATGTCACAAAAATTCTTGAGTGCTTGTCATGCCTTCAAACAAAAGATTGCACAATTGTTTGAAGTCAGCTTTTCTTTGGAGACTGCAAACATGTGCATGACTGTGTTAGCAGAGGTCTCAGAACCTAGTCTGACTCCATCCTTAGTATTAACTGGTGAGAGTGCACAGGTGAAAGACACAAGATTAATAATTCCTATTCGAAGCTGTGTTTGAGACTTCAGGGAGAATTCTGTGAGCACCACCGAATTTGGACCACGGCTGAGACCCGTTTTGAGCTGGTGTTTTGTGAGCCCTGTGTGCCGAGCAGACAGAATATCATGATCACGCGTGACATCGGCTGCATGATTTATGTCTCCCATACACAGAAGGGAAAGGAGACACTGATAGAAGAAATGAGATCTGGTTCTTATTGATGAGGAAGCATAACTTATGGGCTAAATATTGGAGATTTTCTCACGTTAAGGCTTCCACCCAAGAAAAGAGCTTGTGTCAGAGCTGAGAGCCAGTACAAGGCAGAGACAGATGTGTTTCTCCTGGTGTTGATAGACCAAGACAGATAAGGGGAGGATTCGAAGGTCAGGAAAATGTTTGGGCTTTCTCAGTCAAGATTTGGAGAGCAAAAGCAATATTAAACACACGAGATACAAATTTACTTCAGAGATAGAAATTCATCAAAGGCTGAGCTCTCCTGTCATTATATAGCACCATGAAAAAATAGCACATGTGTGTGTGACACACACACACGCACACACAAGTATGTTAAAGCCCAAGGAACTCAACTTTTGGAAACAATTTTAGAACAGTGTTAAAAAATAAGTTCAGTAACTCTCTGGCCAGCCCTTCATTGTTTTTGCTATACCCTGAAGTTCTTTGAGTGGAGTTTGAATGTTCCTATAGGAAAGGCTGACCTGCTGCCTTGCCAGGCCTCATGAACCTGTGCAAGACCACTGCTCAACACAGAGGGGTTTTGACCACATTTCAGCTCCTTGGGCTCTGGAGTCTGCTTCCAGCTGTCCCTCCCTGGGAAGACCAACACCAAGGACCAAGAGAAGGTCTTCCTGAGGTGCCTCCTTCCCCCTGGGCACAGAGCTGTGCTAGATGACCCAGTCAGCCTTTCCTAGCTCTGATTTCCATGATCCTACAAATATCATCACCCACGACAAGAAACAGATGCCGCCTGCGGGGGGGCAGTGACCTCGGCTGCATCTCTCCAGCAGCCCACGTGGAGGGAGCCTGGTTGCCACCTCCCCCGCCAGCTCCCCACTTGGTGGCAGCTGATGGATATTTATAGTACTCTTCCCCAGCCTGCCAATTATAATTATCAATATCTCCACTGATACAAAAAAAGGAAACATCATCCGAGCTGGGCACAGTGTGTGATAAGCCAACTTTGAGCTGAAACATGAAAACAGCTTCTTCCGATTATGCACAAAAGAGAGGTGCACTGAGTGGCAGGGCTGGCATCTGAGCTGTGCCCCTGTGGCTGCCAGGGACAACTTCCACCTCCCTGGACGTGTGTTTGTGGGTGAAAAGCAAGGTGGAGGTAACCAGGGGTGCTCACAGACAGAGCCACCTCTACTGTACGGAGCAAGAGTTGCTTTAAATATAATAAATAAAAGTGAAGTCTTCCACAAGGCAGCGCGGATCGGTAATTGCTGTTTTGGAACTCACGTCCCCGCAGTTATCTAACTCAGCGTTTCATCTCCAGCTGCAGCACAATTTTTGCCAAATATAGATAAATGAAGTTAAAGTTATTGGCAGCCGCAAGTTCTGTGTCCCTGTTTTGAGTTATAGATTTCATAGGAATGGCATCACTACTTCTGGGGCAGACGATTGTTCTCCAGGAGCGAGAACTTCCCAGATGGCCCAGGCTCCAGGCGGTGGACTGAGGCTGGGGTTTGCCTAGGAGGGGCCTGCATGGGGCTGGGTTAGGGCTGCTCTCGGCTGTGGGTCAGCTGGAATACCGAGACCAAGGGAAGACAGGTTCTCAGCTGAATGGAGTCTTTGGGAAACACCTTCCAGAGATCCCTCAATCCCAGACAGGCCCAGGTAGTGCAGCTCAAGCCCACTGCTCTTCCGCAGCTCACCTGTGGAAACCCACAGCTCGTCACCTGCCGGACTGCTTGCTTCTCTCCTCTTATTTCTGATGAGAGGCAAGGTTATAACATCCCCTGGGAGGCTGGCTCTCCAGATGACTGAGCCAGGAGGTGCTGGTCGGTGCCCTTGGGAGCCACAGCCAACTGGGCACGGCTTCCGTTCCTCTTCCAAGGTTGACGCCGGGGCTTCCTGCTTGCTCCCCTTTGTTTAGATGTGAAACATAGTCTTCCCAGATCCACTGCCTGCTGCCCGCTGGTGAGGAACACAGAGGAGGCTGTTTCTGGGCCGTGTGAGCACATGCACGTCTGGCAGCCCCGTGTCTCCTGCACCTGAACACACATCTCCTGCATCCTGGCTCCTTATCATCCTGCAGCTCTGTTGCTATGGAAAAACACTTTCTAGAACTTAGTGTAGTCACAAGTTAGGGCAGTTTTGAAGGGAGAACAGTGTGTAAGTCAGACACCGTCACACACACGTGCGCGTGTGCACACGCACACCCGTTGGCCTTTAAGTAAACCAGGAGCTGCCTCTTACTTGGATTCAAAGTCAATGTTCCATCCCAGGAATAACCTTTCCCACGTGCCTCTGCTCAGTGACCTCTCCCTATGTGATACTCGAGCAAAGTCGCAAGTTATTTTTCCTCCTCTTCTTTCCCTTCTGTTCATTGTTCTTTGGGTGATGTTTCCTTTTTTTGTATCAGTGGAGATACTGATAATTATAATTGCCAGGTAGAGGACCGTATATGCCAAAAGCTACCCTAGCTTCCTTCCCTCTTCCCTTTCTTCCTTCCTCCTGCTCCTTCATTCCTTCTCCCTTCCTCTTTCCTTCAGAAAAAAAATCGAGATATAATTCACGTAACTTCAAATTAGCCCCAGACCACCTTTCCAGGGCCCCGTCCAGGCGTTTGCTGTGTCCACAGTATCTTCGCTGACCCTTCTCCTGGCTCAGAGATATTCTCAGCAGCCCGGAGGGCCCCTGGCCCACCCTGTGGTCAGGCACCCTCCCCAGCCCTGCCCAGCACCCTCACACTGTAAGTTGGAAACTCTTCCTTTCAGTCCTTCCATCTGGTTTTAATTTCTCCCGCGGTGACCGGCATTTAATATGCATCAGCTCACGGCCTCCTCACAGCAGCACGACCAGGAGCAACTGCTTAGTTCCTTCTCAACAGGTGGACTCGAGGCAGAGGGTGGCGAGGTTGTCACACAGTCCCATGGCAGGAGGCAACACAGCTGGATGCCAGCCCGCATGGCTGCCTTCTCCGGTGCTTGACTTGGAGCCCGGTCTTTAGCCTGGCCAGCTCCCTTCCTCTCCCGCTGCCGTCTGTTGGACACAGGTCTTGGCACTGCTGCTCTCTGTCCCTGCTTTGTTTCCTGCCTCGCTCTGGTTTTGTTCTCTAGCTTCCTGCGACATCAGGCCACAGTGCTGAAGACGGTGTTATGATTTCCAGGACGTCTTGCAGGGACGGAAGGTGTAACTTCTCTGCTCTGGATAGTCTTTTTGGCTCAACTCTGAACTCTTTGGTAAAAGTAGACCTTTCCAAAGCTCTCTGGGACTTGGAGCAAAACTGGGAATTTTGTTAGTGAGAAACAAGCAAAGTGGCAGAGAGGAGGGTGACTTCTGGATTTTTCACTTTCTCACCACTGGGATGAAAAAGGATTAAGATGTGTTATGGCTGTGTACCAACTCCCCACGAGGGTGCAATCATGATGTACTGCAAATGTGGATTAATAAAAATAAAAATTGAAAAAATACTCAGCAGTCATAGCTTAAAGGGGGAGAGTTTTTTTTTTAAGTTTATTGGGAAATGGGAGGGGTAGGGGAAAGGAAATCAAGGGAAAAGAAAAAAATATGAGAGAATGAAAAAATAGAAATAAAGTCTTTGTAAATAGGGAAGGGAGGAGGGGGTGAAGGGAGTGCAGGAGTATGGGGAAAAAATGAGAACCAGGACCTGTCATGTAAAGTTACCAGATCCCAATGATGAATGTAACTGTACTGTAGACCTAAAATGTACCAATAAACTCAATGAGAAAAATAAAGTGTATTGGTACATATAGCTATACAATATGATGACATTCATCATTGGGATCTGGTACCTTTACATGCCAGGTCTTGGTTCTCATTTTTCCCCATTCCCCAGCCCTCTCTTCACTGGCTCCACCCTTCCCTGTTTACAAAGACTTTGTTTCCATGTTTCTCCTTTTCACATATTTTTCTCTTTTCTCTTTTTACCTTTCCCCTACTCCTCCTGCTTCCCCTACTCCTTTAGACCCTTTCTTCCTATTTCACATTGTCAGTTATGCATTTTAATCCTTATTTATACTTTTAGTTTTTCACACCAGAGAAACTATTTTGTATTTACACATGTGTGACTTATTAATTTCACTTAAAATATGGCCTCAATATGCATTCACTTAACTATAAATGTCTCTAGTTTCTCATTCTTTATGGCTGAATAGTACTTCATTTTATTAAGAAAAACCCACATCTTCTTTATCCAGTTTCTGGTTGATGGACAATTAGGCTGTTTCCAAGTTTTAGCTATTACACTATATATATTGCCACTATAAACATGGGTGAGCATGTATCACTGTGGTATGATTCTTTTAATTCTTTTGGAAAGATACCCAGCAGAGGGATGGCTGGGTCAAATGGAACCTCTAATCCTAGTTCATTGAGGTATCTTCGTATTGATTACACAGTGGTTGCACCAGTCTGCACTCTCACCAACAATGGAAAAGGGTTCCTCTCCCCCTACAACCCTGCCAGCATTTGTTATTGGTTGATTTCTTGATAGCAGCCATTCTTTGTGGGGTGAGGTGGAATCTCACTGTTGTTTTCATCTGCGTCTATTGAATGACCAGTGATGTTGAACATTTTTTCAATTGTTTATTTGCTGCTTTTACTTCTTTGTCTGAGAAATGTTGTTCATTTCAGATGCCCATTTTTGAATTGGGTCCTTATATTTGGGGGGGGGTATGATTTTTTTGAGTTCTTTATATATTCTAGATAGTAGACCTTTGTCTGAGGAACAGCTGGTAAAAATTTTCCCCCCACATTGTGGGTTGTCTCTTAGCTTTGCTGGTGATTTTTCTGGCAGTGCAGAGCTTTTTTAAAAGATGAGATCCCAGTTGTTGATTCTTTGTGCTTCATGCAGCTCCAGTCCTCACCAGTCCACTGGTGGCAGGGAGGATTCTGGAGAGATTTAATTTGGCTCATGGTTTGGGGGGATTCAGTCCATAGCCGGCTGCTTGGAAGGCAGGAACATCATGGCGGAAGGGCCTGGCGGAGGAGAGCTGCTCACCTCATGGCAGCCAGGAAACAGTCAGAGGAGGGAGGAGCCAGGGACGGAATGCACCCTTCCAGGTTGCACCCAGTGACCTCCTCCAACCAGGCCCCACCCCCTACAGCACATTCAGCTAGGAAGTCACCCATGGGTGGATCCACTGATGAGCTCAGCGCCCTGTGATCTATCACCTTCACACATGTGAGACTCTTTAGGTCAGTTTAGATCCAAGTTGTAACAACTTTATATGCAATAAAGGACTGAAGAAAACAAAGCACAAAAGGGACCGGTCATTTCAAAATTACTTTCCTTTGTAAAGTTTAAAGCAGAGAGATTTTTATTAGTCTATTTGGGGATGTGACGAATGTCTTGTTTTCTTCTGACTTTTTTGAAAGTCCCACAAGCAGTGTGGTGGCTGAAACATCAGCACAAGTCGCTGGACATTGGTTTGGTCCTTAGGCCCTATGGCCTTCTGCCATTCTATCTAACAATGTCTACACATAAATATATTTGATGTATTTTAAGTCTACAAATACATATGCATGCTTCTTATAAATTCATATATTTCTAAATTTTAGAAGCCTAACTACTATTGTTTTTACCAACTTATACAAATTTACCATTTTGTTCCATAAAACAAAGTTAGCTTCTTTTCTTTCCTTTTTTTTTTTTCAGTGCTAAGGATTGAACCCAGAGCTGTCACAGTGATCTACATCCCTAGCCCTTTTTATTTTTTATTTTGAGATAGTCTCCCTAAATCAATAAGTTGCCTGGCCTGGTTTCAAACTTAAGGTCTTCCTGCCTCAGCTTCCCAAATTGCTGGAATTACAGGTATGTGCCACCATGTGGGGAACAAGCCAGCTTTGTAAAGGGTGCACGTGAATGTTAAGTACCCTTGCCTTCATGTGGGGCTGGGCTTCTCATCCTTCTGCACTGGTCCCCAGAAGCGGGGCTCTTGGTCACATGCCAGCTAATGCATCCATGGCGGCCCTGGCATGGCAGAGCAATAATCACAGGGAGAGGGGACTGTCCTCGGTCACCCCTAGTGACAAGCAGGGTCTTCAGTGAATCGCACGCTTTATTGTATTCAGTCCCCACCCCAAAGCCCGGAGGCCCGTGCTGCCACAGTACGAACCTCCGTGGAGCTGGGAATGGAACCGAAGGAAGGCCTTGCACTGAGTCACGTCTCTGGATCGTTTCCTTTTTCGTTTGGAGATAGGGTCTTGCTGAGTTGCCCAGGCTGGGTTTGAACTTGCAATCCTTTAGCCTCAGCCTCCTGAAGTGCTGCGATTTTAGGTGTATGCTGTTACTCCTGGCTGTTTCACTGTTGGTTTTCACTACAGAGAGAGAGATGAATGTGGACAGGGAGTCATATTGTATGATTTGGGGTATTTCTCTTCTCTTTGTGGGGGAAAAATGTATGTGTGGAATTCTGTACTCCATGTCAGATAGCTCCAAGCTTTTAATTAAAGCTGCATGGTGTTAGGAGAAGACTTCTGGAGGCACAGTTCCCACACCCAAGGACGTGGTACAAATCTGTGGCTTGGTCCCTGAGCCGTCAGGTTTCACATCCACCCTGCATGTTCTTGTCACCGCTGCAGGTGCTGCCTTCAGTCCCGCTCAGAGGGCTCCTGCCCGAGGCTGGGTCTGACCTAGAAGGAAGGATGAGGAAATGTAGAGCAGAAGGAATGTTTGAAGAGGGATCCCGGAAGGCCAGGCGCTCCTCGGTTTTCCAGAAGAAATGAACTCCAGTCAGGGGAGAAATGCTTCTCCCAGCGTCAGGCCGCCTACTTCTCCCAGCCGGAGGGACAGGTCCAGGTGGGACCAAGACAGCAGGGTTAGTGGTGCGTGGCTGAAGAGCTTGGAGCAGGGCTTTGAGGTGAGGCCTCCAGGGGACAGCCAGCAGAATGGACAAGGATACCATAGGAGCTGTGCCCACTGCTTGCAGGCCGGGTGGTATAGGGTGGTAAAATCACACATCACCTTTCAGTCCCACCGGAAGGATGTGACTCAAGTTTGACAAATATTAACCAATTACTTCTTCGAATGACACGTTGCATTCCTGAGATAACTGAGAATTAAGAAGCAGGAGCACTGTAGCCAGGGGAGGTGGAGCACGCTTGTAATCCTGGCAACTCCGGGAGGCCGAGTTAGAAGGATCCCGGGTTTCAGCCCAGCCTGGCCACTTAGTGACTTAGCAAGACCCTGTCTTAAGAGCACAGTGAAAACAGCTATGGGTATAGCTCAGTGCCCAGGCCCTGTGTTCAATCCCTTGTACCAATACACAAATACAAGGCAAGTACCGGGTAGTGGGCCGTGAGGGGCAGAGCCTGGGTATGAGCTCGTGTCCATCTTGTTCTCCTGTTTCCGGTCTTCCTGTTTCCAGGGCTGCAGTGAGGTCCTCCTGTGGAGTGGGTGTGTGTCCCTGTCTGCAGACCCTAGAATTTCTGTAACCAGCAGTAGCATTTCATTTGAACACAGAGAACATTGCAAGTCGGAAAGGAACCAGTGGACCCTCGACAGAGGAAGTGGGTACCCTGCCTCTCCTCTGAGACTGTGCGACAGGAACTGTCCCTGTCCAAGTGTCCACTGCTTCGTCGAGGTGTGGTCGCCACGCGGTCTCACCCTGTGCATCCAGGGGCAGGGCTGTGATTTTTGATTTGTTTTAATAAATCCCGAAGTACCTGGTGATTTTTTTACTGTGCCTTTCATGTGGAAGCATGGACTTGAGGTAAAAGAAGAACCACAGAACCCTTCTCCGTGAATTCTTTCTTCCTGTTTCCTATTACACTGAAAGGTAGGCGAGGGAGGCTGCTTTAGCCTCGCTGGCCACTAAACTGTCCATCTCTGTGCTCGGCTTGGCTGTGTTTGTGAGTGACAACACTGTCCCACTGAGCTCACACAGCCCTCTAAAGAGACTCAGTGATCTGGGGTCAGTCCGAAGCACTTCTCCATCATGTCGCGCGCCCTCCCCCCCGTCACCTCTCCGTGACACCTCACACCTCCACATTTCCCCAGACTTCACAACAAAAATGTGTGCTGCTCTCTCCTGCCTACCCTCCTCCTCCACAGCAAGGGGTTTAAGGACTCCAGAAACAAAACTCTTCTCCTCACATCTGAGCCAAGGCACATTTTCGAATAAACATGACATGCAAAAATATCAGAACTGTCTCACACAGCGCTGCCTTCCCAGACTGCACATTTAAACTTCTCCTTTCCAACCAAGCCCGGCAAGCTCCGTCTCAGCACCAAATAAGGAGCAAGCGTTCAGGCAAACGCTCACACCCGGCCTTCCTTCCACTGCACCCCACCCCCTGGCTATTCTTTTTTTTTTTTATTAGAAAACACTTGAAACTTCTCATGAGCAGCAGATGGGAATAGAACATGCAGCTCGAAGACAGTTA